GTGACATCAGGGCAAGAACTGGCTGTTCCAAGGAGAGGCGTCTTAGCTCCGCCTCCTTCCTGGAAGCTGAAGCTGGTACAGCTGGGACTTAGCTTTCTTGGTATTCTGGGGGAGAACCATTTCTATCTGACTCTTCCTACAGAAACAAATCCCGTTCTTCTTGGTGTTCTTAATTTCCTCCTGAGATTACCTTTCTCCTTTAGTATCTCAGAGAGGCGATCTTCTTTGACAGAGGCGTCACTTGGCCTAGAAGACTTGGTTGGCAGTGGTGTGCTGGAGCTAACTCATACTGGCTCACAAGAGCACTGTTAAATTTTCAGGAACTTTGTGAGCCAGTTGTTAAACACAGCTGTTATTAAAAATCAGATTACACTAGCTTGCGATTTAATATATTAAAAATCAAGGTAAGAAGTGTGAAACTCCATGCCTTCATTATTTTACTACATTTTTCTACGCTGTGCTCTTTAGGTATTTACTTCCATTGTATCTGTATCGTGGAAATACTGTGTAATGGTGTGCTACTCGGCCCAGCGCTGTCTGTGGTCAGTTACATAATGTTGGTAGTTTAAAGTGGGACTTCGTAGGAGTATTTTCACCATGGAAATGGGCAAACACGACAAATCGGGGTCCCCCCACCTTCACCCCCTTCAGTGTGTTTCATCCTGCCTTTCTGAGGCTCCTGAGATTGGGAAGGTTTATGTAGCACTGACCTCTGATGCCCACTGAGAGCAGTGCTTCTAGCAGCCAGACTGAGGGTTCCTTGGCCTGTTAGATGTGATCCTGATGTCTCCCTCTTCCCAGGCCCTTCCGTACTTTGACCGGCTAGACTATGTGTCCATGATGTGTAACGAACAGGCCTATTCGCTGGCTGTGGAGAAGTTGCTCAACATCCAACCTCCTCCAAGGGCACAGTGGATCCGAGGTATGCCCCATCCCCTTCTTCCTGTGGCCCACTGAGAGTGCAGCATAGTGCCTCTGCCCCCCATCTTAGGAGCGCCAAACCGGAGCCTAGTATGCAGACCCCAGGCTCTGCCCAGAGCTGCTCTGTCAGCCTGGATCCTTGGCTCCTATATCCTTCTCTTGTCTTCACCTCTCTGCAGTGCTGTTTGGAGAAATCACTCGGCTTTTGAACCACATCATGGCTGTGACCACACACGCCCTGGACATTGGGGCCATGACCCCTTTCTTCTGGTTGTTTGAAGAAAGGGAGAAGGTATGAGAGGGAGGAAAGAATAGGAAAGGGGAAGGAGGTGCCAGAGGTAGAGAAGGTATGAAGGAGACGAGAGTAAAAGGAGAGAACATTTAGGGGGAGAAGGTATATTTAACCTGGGTTATATTCTTGAGGAGCTCTGTGTCATGAGGGGTTGGTTGGGCACCAGAAGGCTGGGGCGGGGGAGTAGACCATCATGGTGTTGGACTTAGGGGCCCGGGACTTTGTCACTAATTCCCAGTGTGTCCTATCAAGATGTTTGAGTTCTACGAGCGAGTGTCTGGGGCTCGGATGCATGCTGCTTATGTCCGGCCAGGAGGTGTGCACCAGGTGAGCAGGCTCCCCTGCCTCTCTTAAGGTCCAGTCCTTGCTTGTATCCTCTGTGGCCACTGGAGGGCAGTCCTGGCTGATGGAAGGACTAACCCTGTATCCCTGAGGCACAGCTGGCTCTCCTTAGTGGAGACTCTGCACTCACTGTCGATTCTCCATCTGTCTTCTAGGACCTACCCCTTGGGCTTATGGATGACATTTACGAGTTTTCTAAGAACTTCTCTCTTCGCATTGATGAGCTGGAGGAGGTAAGATAGGAGTCAGTGGGAAAAATCCCTCTTTTACCCCAAGAGGATCTGTGGGATTAATCCCCAGTTATAAAGAAATACAGAGGTATGTGAAGAGTGTCATGAAGAGTGTTCACACACCAGCTCTCTTGCTCAACAGATGCTGACCAACAATAGGATCTGGCAAAATCGGACAGTCGACATTGGGGTTGTAACAGCAGAAGACGCACTTAACTATGGTTTTAGGTGTGAGGAATAAGACTTCTCTCCTTAGGGGCGGGTGGGTTCCAGCTTAATCTCTTGGCTTCAGGTGTGGCGCCTTCCTTGCCATGCTGTCTTTGTATCCCATGCCCAGAGCGTGCGGGAGGGAGAGGGGAGACTAGGGAAGAGAGCATGCCTCTTTTCTTGGTTTGTGGAAAGTGACCCTTGGTCCCATTATACTCTCTACAGCGGGGTAATGCTCCGGGGCTCGGGCATCCAGTGGGACCTGCGGAAGACCCAGCCCTATGATGTTTATGACCAGGTGGAGTTTGATGTTCCTATTGGCTCTCGAGGGGACTGCTATGATAGGTGAGGCCCAGATCCCTTCTTAGCTCATTTTCCAGCTAGTTTCCCCTGTCTAACTTTTCTCTTAACTGCTTTCTTCTTTCTCATACTTTGCAGTATCTACTGGAGCTCTTGTGTGTGTTAAACTAGGTTGCTTTTCAAAGCACTTGCACATATGGGACATTTCATTTTACCCTTACATTCTTCTTATGTCTTAGATGGAACTAGTTTGGGCTGCATCTTATAGCTGAGAAAGCTGAAGCATAAAAGTTAGAGATGAGCCTGGGATATTATTCTGTTAGTAGTGCTTGAGACTAGAATCCTCCTTATCCAGTGCTATTTCCACTAGATTCTAAGCTTCAAATTCCATCCCTCTTTACTGACCCCAAGAAAAATTTGCTACTGTTTTCTTTTTGAGTCACTTGGACTCTCACCTGTTCTATACTCCAAAAAATGTTTAAGAGGGTAATTAAAGAGGGAACTATTACAGGACATGGTCTGAGAAAACTAGGAGAGGGCCCAGTGCTCGAATCAGAAGACTGTAGGTTTTCTATGGGTGGCCAGGCCAAGCAGAGATGCTGCACTAGGAGAAAAGGATGAGGAAAGTTACCTAGCACTCTTCAGTTCGGCCAAGGGCATCCTCCCAGCCTCACATCTCATCCTCTGGCTGCTCTTCTCTTGCTCTGAGTCTGTCTCATCTACTTCAGGTACCTGTGTCGGGTGGAGGAGATGCGCCAGTCCCTTCGAATCATCTTACAGTGTCTGAACAAGATGCCTCCCGGGGAGATCAAGGTTGATGATGCCAAAGTGTCTCCACCAAAACGAGCAGAGATGAAGGTTAGCTGTAGGGGGAGGGAAAAGGGGGAAAGGGGGCAGCGGCTGGGGAGGAGTATCTTTGGATTAAATCCTACTTTTCAGTTTTCCTTTTTCAAAGAATTCACTGTATAAGATTCTTAACCTCCTGTAGCCTCCTCTCTTTTTCTATAACTTCTCTGCTCATTGACTTACATGTGGGATTTTAGACTCCCTGGGGGTAGAGATGATTTTCTGTGTGTGGGTACACCTGCCATACAGTTTGGTTCTGGCTTGTTGATGCTCCGTTTTTCCTCTCTCCAGACTTCTATGGAGTCACTGATTCATCACTTTAAGTTGTATACTGAGGGCTACCAAGTTCCTCCAGGTGCCACATACACTGCCATCGAGGCTCCTAAGGTGAGGCAAGAAGGGGAAGGAAAGGACAGTACGTGGAGTGGGTGACTGGCGATGGATGTTCAGATAAATGCTTGTTCATCATTGAGAGAGAGGACGTGAGGGTGAATAGAGAGGTTTTTGTTGGCAGAGGAAAGGGTTCTTCCTGTTAATGGAGGCAGCCATCCTTCTTCCTTGGACAGGGGGAGTTTGGGGTGTACCTGGTGTCTGATGGCAGCAGCCGTCCTTATCGATGCAAGATCAAGGCTCCTGGTTTTGCCCACCTGGTAAGAACCAGCCCCAAAGATTCTAAGGCTAATACATGAAGCCAGTAATTAATCCTTGGTTGAGATTTTTATGAACTTTCCCTCCTCCTCCTTCTACCCTGTTAATCTTGCCTAACATTATTGCTGTCTTAATCTCTGCAGGCTGGTCTGGACAAGATGTCTAAGGGACACATGTTGGCGGACGTTGTTGCCATCATAGGTACAAGGCCTGTTGTGTGGTAGAGGTGTTCTAGGCAAGGGACTTTGAGACTCTGATTGGGGACAGAAACTGAACACTTCCTGTTCAACATAGACTATGGGCATAGACTCAAATCCTCAAATCCTCAGTTTCCTGAGCACAGTAATGAGTTCTAGATTCTTGGTAACATCACTTTTTCTCTCCTCCCCCTGACCTCCTAGGTACCCAAGACATTGTGTTTGGAGAAGTAGATCGGTGAGCACGGGAACAGCGTTGGACCCTCCCTGCCTACCAGCTTCGTCTGTGGAGCCTGTCCATCGTTGGGAGTGGGACTCTGCGTGTGTGTGTGTGTGTGTGTGTGTGTGTGTGTGTGTGTGTGTACACGTACGTGAATGCTTAGCTGTCAGGCTTTCTGTGCATGTACTGGAAAAGGAGAAATTATAATAAATTAGCCCAAACTTGGGGGTATGTCTTTCTCAGTATCTTACTGTCTTTCAGTTTGATGGGAAACTCACGAGTGTTAACCCTCTACTTCTCTGTTAGACTCAGTCCTTAGCAGTTTTTCCTGCTCATCTCCGCCCCTTTTGTGACCCTTGTCCTTTCCACTTCTCCATTGCCCATTTCCTCTTTTTCCCTTACTTCCTCCCTGCCCAAAGCTTGCTGCCCACACTAATTGGTAAACTCCTCAAATCAAGACTGGGTACAAAGTTCCAGGTGGGAGAGAAAGGGGCTATCATGGGGTCTTAGGGAATTTTGAGGGGCAAGTTATCAGGGCTGTGTCTCTGAACAGGGCTAGAGTGAGATGGCGGGTTTAGATAGCCTTTCCCAAGCATGGGTGTTGCCTCTTTCCACGGTAGCAGGGGCTTGGTCACTGAAGGACGGAGACATAGGAGACCGGATCTCCTAGCTCCCTTAGTTGGCCCTTCCGGGAGCCGCCCGGTCTCTAGTGCAGGAAGGGGAAGGGGCCAGAGCTCAGAGGAAGGCGTGGCAGGAAGGGGGCAACTCTGTGGTCAGGGAGCCGCTCGCAGAGCACAGCTGCACAGTGCCATCAGTGTCCGATCCCCAGCTCGTGGCCCCTCGGCCCCTGCCCATGATGTTTCCAGCAGTGGTCTTGCTCTTAATCCTTTTGGTTGAACAAGCAGGTAAGAGGGTTTGGTGAGGGACAGTGAGCTGGGCTCCAGGGTGGGAATCAAGGGCATGTGTCTGAGGGCTGAGGCAGGGACAGACAGAGGAAGGCTGGCACTGGGAGGATGGGCACAGAGACCCTGAGGCTGGTCCTGTCCAGTCTCTCAGGGCGCAGGAATTGTAGTTCCCTCCTTTCTTGTCCCCTCCTTACTTTTTCAGGACTGATAGATACGTAAGTCTTCAGTTTGGCAGGGGAAGGGAGTGGGTGTATGACATGAAAAGCTGGTCTGGGGAAAAATTCCGTTTCTCACGATCAGCGTTTTCTGTGGGGTGCCTTTGGTCTTATCCATTGGGAGCTGATCTCTAGCTGGTTAAATAATATTTATAAAGCCCCCTTTAGGAAGGCAGGGGCCTGTCCTTGTGTTTAGGAGTGAGGCAAGGGTAGTCAAATATGTGATTGTGGCTTCTGTGGGTCGTCACTAAGGCACAGTTGATGTGAGGGTGGGGGCAGCGTACAATGCCCAGTTCCAGAGAGCTGAACGTCAGCTGAGAAATGGAGGCAGAAATGGGAAGTCCTCTGCAGCTCTGAGGCTCCAGGCATTCTCTAAACTCTCCTCTCTCTGTCTGGGTTGTCTGTGCTTTGAAGAGGGATAGTTACAGCTGGGGTTCGGGGAGGAAGAGGTTAGTGAAACTTAAGGGCAAGTGGGGAAGTTAAAAGAGATGGATGGAGTTCCACCAGCCCAGCTGTGAAGATGGAAGGACTAAGTGAGCGGCCAGTCTGCTGCCATGGGATGAGGGAGCAGGGGCACTGAGGCATAAAAGAGGGCACAAACCTGGAACGCAGAAAACCTGAATTTCAATTCCAGCTCTGGCCCTTCACGCTATGACCCTAAATGAATTACTTAGCTTTTCTGAGCCTTGGTTTCGTCATCTACAAAATGGCGATGAGGTTTCCCTCACGGGGTAGTTTTGAGATTTATGTAATACCGTGTGTGAAAGAGCGTCACAGAATAAAATGTACATCACCCATATGTCACATGCCCATGAGCCCTTCTGATAGGGGTCAGAGCAGATAGAGGCTGGAGCTCAGACTTTATTTGATTATTTTCCTTGCACGAAACGTCCTCTCTCAGTGGCCCAGCGTGAGTAACAGGGCAGAGTACCCGGAGCCGGAATCCATACAGCTTGTGGTCATTCCCTTGAGCCTGGGCTAAGACACTCGCTCAGCCATATGTGCAGAGCCATCGGTATCTATAAGGCCAAGGAAAGCAGGCACCTTGTTTTTACATATTTAAGTGTCTTAGTTGGGGGTGGGGGGTGGACAGAAAGCGATGTGGCTGAGGCTAGATGACCCATAATAGAGTGATTGCCTTCCCTCCTTTCCTCAGCTCACATCCTTCCTGTCCAGCCCTCAGCCACAGGTCACAGGACTTAGCAGAGACACCCCTGTGGTTTCTTTGCTGAAATTTGTCACTGCCTCCATTCACTTTACCCTCCCCTGGGCTGACGTTTTGGTCTTGGCTCAGTGAACTCACATGGGTCCCTTGAGGGCTATAGAATGCTCAGTGGTGCCTGAGGAACCCACAGTGCTCAAAAGAGAGGGTTGGGGGCTGAGGGGGAAGCTCTCAACTCTCAGAAGCTGTAAGTTCCATCGCAACAGAACTGTTCACACTTCCTGTCCTACCCCTACCCTAGGGTGAGGAAGATGGGGGAGAGGTGGGAGAAATAGGAATCTAGAGAGGAAGATGAAGTTTCTTCCCTGGGTCGGTGCCCCTCCAAGTCCCGTCCTACCTCCCAGAGCCCTTTCTTTCTCTCCTCTGAGCACCAGATCTTTCCTGCTGCCCCTGACCCCATGGGTACCCTCTGTCCCCTCAGCGGCCCTGAGAGAGCCTCAGCTCTGCTATATCCTGGATGCAATCCTGTTTTTATATGGTATTATCCTCACCCTGCTCTACTGTCGACTCAAGGTAAGGCTGGGCAGCGTGGGGTGAGGGCTGGAAGGAGAAGTGGGAGGGTAGGGGCAGCATGGCTCCAAAGAGAGGGAATAAAAGGGGTTCCCCTACAACGTTTGGAGGTGGGGTTGGGCCACTGACTTCACCTTTACTGATGGCCTTTCCCCTACTCCAGCTGCAGGTGCGAAAGGCAGCTACAGCCAGCTATGAGGTATGGACCCTTCCTCAACTGGGTATCAACAATTTTTCAGTCTCTCAGCCCTTCTGGGGCTTTAGCCTTGGGGTCTGCGGTCTCTGGCGGGGGGGCGCATGGGACTCAGGTGCTGATCTGTATAAGCTTCAGAGGTCCCCCTCCTACCTCATCCTACCCACCCTGCCACCTAGCCAAATCACAAAATATTCAACAGGTGACGAGGAAGAGTCAAGGGTAGAGCGACAAGGAGTACATGAGAGAGTTGTATGTTGTGTGTATATGTGTGTTGGCAGCCATATGGGTAAATGTGCATTCATGCCCCCAGAGTATCCATGGGAGTGCCCTCTAGCCCAAGGGGGCCAGCCACCCCTGGACACATACCTCCCGGGGTAGGGAAGAAGGGGCTGAACGGCCCTGGAGTTGTGGGTCTCTAATGCCTTGCCCCTTTTACCTCTGCAGAAATCAGATGGCATTTACACGGTGAGTGAACCTGCCTCCCAACCCCAGTCCCAGGAAGTCAGCAGAAGAGCGTGGGCTTTTGAGTGAACTTTGGAAGGGGTAGGGCCTCTAGGGTGGGTAGGAGACCCTGTGATGGGCTCAAGCTCCTGACTATCCTCTGACTTCCACCTCCAGGGCCTGAGCACCCGGAACCAGGAGACTTATGAGACCCTGAAGCATGAGAAACCGCCACAATAACTTTAGAACAGATGCCCTTGGTCACTTCCTTCTTCCACTTCCCTCCCAGCCCTCGTAGCTGGCATCACATATGCCTCCCCGCCGTTAATGCCAGCTGACCCTATCCCTGTAATGATGCTATGCCCCCCATTAATAGACACCAGTGCTTCCTCCTCCCTGTCAAAGACCTCAGATGCTCTTCATTAATGTTTATATTCTAGTCACACCTCTTTATGCCACCCTTCTCCGCGTCCTCGTCCCCAACTCCCACTAAACGATGGAAGCGGAAGGCACTAACATCAATAAAGTTACCACAGACTGGACTCTATTCATTCCTTCATTTAATATACATTTACTCAGCCTCTACTAGCCTAGGCTGGATACTGAAGATATCACGAGGCAAATTTAGTGCCTGACCTTCCATAACTCATAGTCTAATAGACCAGAGCTGTTCTGCTTGATTGAGGGATAAATGCTGACTGTGACTGGGGGAGGGATGAGACCCTTGACCCCCAGGCTCTCTAGCAGGGTGCTGGAGCAGGGAGTAATGTGTTGGGAGTCTAGGCACATTCAGAGACACGTGAACCCAAGAAGTGACTTCCGCGCCCAGCTTGGCCCTCTGTGTCTGACAACTGAAACGAGGTTGGGTTGCGGAGGAGCCTGGCTATCCAACCCCAAATAGTCACCAGTCCAGATCAGAGTGGGCTTCAGGGAGCAGTGTGAGCGCAGCTCGCAATATACATGCATATGGGCATTATTAGCATAGCTGAAAAGCCAAACATGCAGAAGGGATGGTGCGACTAAAGCTTGTGCGATGCTCCCAATGGAAGGTTTTATGGGAACCGTGTTTTCAGTGGATTCTGGGGCAAGAGGAACCTGAGGGAGCCAGGTCTGGGCTGGAGGAGGGTAAGGCAAAGGGGAACAAGTCAGGTCCAGACGGGAGGCCAGGTCCTCCAACTGCATGGGTGAGTGGCGAAGGAATCCCCCTTCTCAGTGCCTACCCTGTTTCGAGGCAGGATTCCCTGGTAGTATCTGAATCCCATCTGATGCTGTCTGTTCTACCTCTGATCCAGCAGCCCTGTCCAAATGGGTCCGGAGTCTCCAGGCTTACCCCTAGCAACCCCGTGTACTGCATGGTGACCTACGCTTTTCAATGTGTTTTCCATCCTGTCGTACCATTTGATCCACTCATTAACACTGTGAGGAAATTCAGGCTCTTTGAAGTTAATTAACCTGTCCAATGTCATCTTGCAAGTGACGGACAGATCTGTGTCCCTGCACGTTTTGCCACATGAGGAAAAAATAAATGGATACTGAGAAAGAAAGGGGAAGAAAGTAGTCACGAGTGGTAAGGGTCTTAAAGCCCAGACTGAAGAGGTTGATTAGCATACAGAAGAGCTGGGGAGGGATAGATTGGGAGTTTGGGATTGACACGTACACACTGCTATAGTCAAAACAGATAACCAACAAGGAACTACTGTATAGCACAGGGAACTCTGTTCAACACTCTGTAATAACCTAAATGGGAAAAGAATTTGAAATAGAACAGGTACATGTATATGTATAACTGAATCGCTCTGCTGTACACCTGAAACACAACATTGTTAATCAACAAAACTCCAATATAAAATAAAAATTAAAAAAAAAAAATATATATATATACAGAAGAAATTGGAGCTATCTCTGGTGTCTGGAGAAAAGGTGATTTCAGATGAGATATGAGTCAGGGTAACTAGAGAAGTAACTATTTTAAATATAAAGTGGAAGTAAACTTTTATTGGAAAATGCCCATTTTCCCATTTTGGGTTATATATACAGAGAAATTGGAGCTATCTCTGGTGTCTGGAGAAAAGGTGATTTCAGATGAGATATGAGTCAGGGTAACTAGAGAAGTAACTATTTTAAATATAAAGTGGAAGTAAACTTTTATTGGAAAATGCCCATTTTCCCATTTTGGGTTTGTGAGTCTCCTGCATCAGTCCAGCCTGACCTCCATTCCATTTTGATTTAATCCAGGTATCACAGCTACCAAAATTTCTCAAGTCCCACATGTCCATCAAGTTGGAGATCTGTTAGGCCTTTAACTGGCTACCACGTCTACTAGCTCCAGGCTCTAAGGTGGCTACCAGAACTTGGGCCAGTTCCATGAATAGCACCCAGATAATAGTGGGGGAGAGGCTTGGAATGGGTGTTCCCAGACAGGGGGTCTAGGTGAGAGGTTTCAAATGGAAGGATTAGAGCACCTTCAGGGAGAGGAGTCTTTTATTGCAGGATGGGGGAAAGCACAGCGTTCCCCTGGCTCAGAAGGGAAGGGAGGGGCCTTGGGTGACACCTTTGGGCTCATTTTGGGGAAGCTTTCTGCTCTTCATAGTATGACAGAGGAAATTCTGAAGGGTGCTCTCATTTCCCGTGACCTTCAGGAGTCTAGGGATTCAGTTCATGAATCTTTCATGCCTTTCAAGGTACCATGTCCACGGCAAAGTCTCTTTAGTTTCTCCTGCAGGGCCATTCCCAGGCCTGTAGAAAAATTCCTGGGGTTTGGAGAAGAGTCACAGGCACCCCTACACTGTCATTTCCATCACTGGTCTCTTCAACCCTTTCTCCACCCCTTCACACCAAAACCCCTCTCCTGTTAGAAGCAGATTTCGCTTTGTTCTCCCTTCTCCTCTTCCTCCACTACCCCTACTTTTCCCAGTCCCCAAAACATACCAGGCTCACAACTTGATTCCTTCAATATTTATCGTAGAAAACAAGGAATAGGTAGGAAGAGGAGCTCTAGGCCTGGCCAGTGGGTGTTCCAGGGGCCAGCTGGGGATGGAAGACAACAGTCTAGGAAATGCACTTGGCAACAGGCTGTGTTTTGAGGTCCATAAAGCTGTCCAAGAAGTTGATCAGATCAGTTCCAGCCTTCTTGACCAGGGGTGTCAGCTGCTCCTGTGCCTTCTCAAAGTAGGCCCTGGATATGTGAGGGATTAGAAGTCAGGATGAGGGACTGGTAGGGGCCTTCTTGGTAGTGGGAGGTGAGACCCAAGTCCCCAGACTCTAGTGCCTGGTCTATCCTGGCATGGCAAAGCTCCTAGGAGGAGAGGCAAGCCCTCCGCTGGGCAGAGGAACAGACCATAGAGATAGAAATTCAAAGCCCAGTTCCTGCTACCCCTATCTGTCCAAGAGGTCCATGGGATCTGTGGGGTGATGAAGGAATTTTCTCTACAATTTAAACCTCATCCTCCCTAACCCCCACCCCTTAGCTCAGTCTTCTGTAGGACCTCCCAGCTTCCCCTCTTTCTCTCCATAGCCCCCTGGTCCATGAACCCCCTTTGTTGAGACTTACTTGGCCTGGATTGGAAGCTCTGAGCCCTTGGCCTTCTCCAGCAGGTCCTTGCCGTAGTCGGTCACAGTCTGGAAGTACTGAGAGAACAGGCTCTGCAGATTCGGCTGCTCTGCCTGTCTCCGAACCAAAGCCCCTGCACATACACAAAAACACACACACGCACACACACACATCCTCAGCTGAGTCCCCAACAATGAGGCCCACATCTCTGCCAGTATTCAGCCTCAGCTCTCAGCTCTCTCCCCAAACAGGTATCCAGCTCCAGGTCTTTGGATGCACTTTCTGGGCTTTAGAGAGGGAATGATTTTTCTTTTAAGCTCTCTGGTTGCCAGACCTGGGCATAGGAGAACAGACAGATGGGCAGCTAGGACCCAAGCACCTTTTCCTCCTTGGGACCCCTCTTCATATCACACCCACCTTCAAGGCTACAGATGGTAAGGAGCAACACAGTCATTGGAAGCAGCTTCATGGTGTTAATGGAAGGGAAAGTGGCCTGCGAACAGGTGGGGGCAGGGAAGGTCACTGAAGCGAATGGGCTTCAGCCCCTCCCCAGAGACCCCTACCTACATGTCCACGCCAACCTGGTTCCCTCCCTTTCTACGGTTAAATCTCTGGTTGCTGCCCACACCTCTTACTCCCTTACTTTACCTAGTCAGCGTTGCTGTCCTTGCCGTCTGTGCCTGGCCTGGCTAGGGAGGCAGGGGCTATATATCTGTATGCTTCCCCACCCCCCTGTCAGGTGACAAGTACTTTGGAGCAGTCCAGTAGGGCAGGGGCTATACTGGAGTAAACAAGTTAGAGAAGTGGGGGGAGAAGAGGACAGCATGGGGACTCATGGTGACAGGGTAGGAGGCAGGGGGTGCAGGCCTTAACGGATGCCAAAGGGGTATACTTTAGGCTTATTCGAGATCCATTCCTTTGGGGCCTGGGCCCAGTAGTCCTTGGATTTGAACGCTTCAGAAAGCAGGATTCCTAGGGGTTTTTTCCCTGGAAAGCTCTGACATATCAAGCCCTCAGCCCTTGGTATCTTTCTCCCATTATGGGTATATTTCATCTCCCAACCCTATCCCCCATCACTGCAACTTGGCAGAGAGGTATTGGGGAACAGAAGAAAGGACAAAAAATCAGAGACGGGGTGAGGGGAATGCAGGTTAGGACGATAAAGGTTAGGGCCAGAGGCCAGGTGTGATTGACTCTGTACCTTTTTGAGTTAATGTGTAATGAATGAGATGGGAGAGAAAACACTAGAGCCCAGAATGACCTTCCTGAGTGCCGATCAGTGAGCACAGCCCACCCCCAATAAAACAAATTCAGAAAGCAGCCGCTGCCCTGCCCCTGAATTGGAGCGCTCTGGCAGGAAAAGAGGTGAGTGAGAGGCTTCTACCAAGGATAAAGGTTGAAGGTCTCTGGGCATTTGATCACCTTACCAGTTCGAGGCAGTGGTCAGCCAATATGAGTCAGCAGGAGCCATAGCATCCCTCTGACCAAGGCCCTGACCCTTGGCCCAGCCCTGTGAGGGAAGGCAGAGGTGCATTCCCCAGGCCCAAGGTATTTGGGTGAAATCAGCTAAATAGATATCAGAAGTATTTGTATCTTTCATCCTTTTGCCCCCAAAGTATACGTAGAGCATTCCTGAGAGATGGGAGTGGCGATGTGAGAGCTAGTGCGGAGGCGACCAGAGCCTAAGAAATCTTATTCTATCTTCAACTATTCCCCTGTGGAGCACTTAGTTCTTGAAGGGCACTCCATTGACTTGTCTGCAGCTTTGGAGTGGAGCGCATTGAGGGCAGGAGTCCATATTCCTCGATTTTATTTGCCAGCTCTGCCTAAGGAACCAGGGAAGGAAGGATTAACTTCAGGGGTTGTTTCAGGGAATAGTTCTGCTAGAATTAAGGCTTACCTCAAATTCTCACACCCATTCCCATTCTACCAAGAGGACAAGAACGCCAACTTTGAGAGGTGCAGACCTCCAGGAGGGAAGGAAGTGTAGGTCCATTTTCCTACGGAGAGCTGTACCCGTGCGTCGAACTGATTTGGGGGTATACTGTGTACTGTTCAGGACTGTGAGGGGGAGTCCCCAGGGCCTGGGAGGGTGGGGGCGCCTAGGGGTGTTCCGAAGCAGTGTTCGAAAGAAGTTTTCACGGTCGTTCCCTCCGCCACCCTTCACAAAACGCGTCTCCAGGCTATATGGTGGAGGGAACTTCAGTGGCTCAAGCTCCAAGATGCTCCCTCTAGTGTCTTGCACGCTCAAAGGTTTTTCCCGACCTTGGAAAGGCAGGGCGATCTAAGGCCATCCACTTGAGTAAGTCTAAGCATCTACCAACAAGTCCCGTCTGTCTCTGCAGTGCCGGGTCGGAGCTCTCATGATGAGAGGTCTGCCACTCCTTTGCGTCCTCCTCTCCCACTGGCCCATGCTCAGCAGCCAGGCAGCTTTTTTGCTTTTTTTTTTTTTTTTTTTTTTTTTTTTTTTAATCGATTGGGCGGAGCCCAATCAAGGGAGGGTTGGGTCTCTGAAATCTTTTTTTTTCGCCCGGTTCCAAGATGGTGTTCATGACTACGCTGGGAATGCAACGTGAAGCCGCAGTTCTGCCATCATTCAAGATGGCTGCCCCCATCAAGATGACCGGGGTGTGCCTGGGGGAAAGGGGCAGCATGATGGTATGAGACGGTAAGGGTTATTTCTCCATTGCAAGCCTCACCTTGAGGCATAGGAATGAAGAGCAGAAAGGCTAGGAAGCTGGGTGAGGTCTGTGGTGGAGGCTAGGATTAGAGAGTGGGGGAGGGTACAGGGGTGACAGGTGGGGGTGAGGGATTAAAGATGGGATGGGAGTGTGCCTGGGGTTCAAGCTCCCCACCGGTGCCCTCTCCCCCCCACTCTTCCTGTTCCAGGTCTAGCGTCGGACCATGTGGAAGTTTCTGGGACTGGGGAGCCGGATAATGGGGGGTGGGACCCGTGCGGGGTAGAGGGAGCAATAGCGTCCTTTCCCAGGCGAACCCCGGCCCCTCCCCTGATCTCTGGACTGAAATGGGGAACACATTGGGCCTGGCACCGATGGGGGCTTTGCCCCGCCGGAGCCCCCGTCGAGAGGAACCTCTCCCCAACCCTGGGAGCTTCGATGAGCTGCACCGGCTATGCAAAGGTGAGAACTTGGCATCTGGGTGGCTCAAGTTGAAGGGGCAGAGAAGGGGAGGGTCTTGAATGGTGGGTGTCCAGTGATGGGAGCAGAAAAGGGGAGATCACACTTGGGGCGGGCAGCCTCAGGGAGGATCAGGTGCTCAGTGCAGCGGAGCACTTCCTGTTACAGGACTTGAAAGGAGGTCAGTTCCTCCAAAGCAGTTTCTATGGGATTGAAAGGGGAGACTCCTTCATGGGGTAGGGGTTCCTTGCCTGTGCTTATTCCTTCCCTTCCCCTCCCCTCCCCTCCACCCGCTTCAGATGTATTCCCAGCACAGATGGAGGGAGTGAAGCTCGTTGTCAACAAGGTTCTGAGCAGCCATTTCCAGGTGCTCCCACTTTTCTGGCCCCTCCTTTCAATTCCTCCCTGCCTGTCTCTGGATCCTCTTCCCCTTTCCTTTGTGCTCCAGCCTTAGCCAGGCTATATGGGACAAAAGAGAGAGAATATGGGGGCTCTCTTCACTTCCTTTGCCTGTGGGACTTGTTGCTTTTAACCTGGTGACCCTCTGTATATGTTGTAATGTTTGGGTTTCTTAAAAGACCTGCTGGATGGGGACAAGATGAAGGGTGGGATGGGGGATTGAAATAGAGCAGGAATCCTCTCTCCTCCATTCACTTTTCT